AGATATATCTACGGGCTTACCTTGAAGCTAAGTGGGTGTTTTGAAGATTTTCCGACGAAACTTCCGGTGACGATAGCTCTCAACTCCGGCGATCTCACACCAAATTGACAACACCACATCATTCCTCATACTCTCAGGAGCATAATAGGAGAAAGTATTACGGAGATTGGTGGAGAAATGAAGGATTTAACCATGCCTTATATAGGAGAGAATGGAAGGAAGAGGCCAGGGGAGTTGCTATTCGTGATGTAATTGATCGGCTAGTGCGCCTGGCTGCGTTTCCGAATGATTTTAAACGCAAGTCCCTGATTGGGACCAATTTTGGTTCCAGTCGGGGTACACTTTTTGGTCCAACTTTCTCCGAATTGAATTCCGTTTGCACCTTTGCGACCGGATAGTTAAACTCTATCCAACGATATAATTTTTATATTCATTCGTTATACTTTTTCCGACACCACATTTTTGGGTGTGACTTTAACAAAGTAAAAATTGGTTTAATTGACCTTTCTCATAAAAGGTTCTCTCATTTAATTCATATCAATTATTCTCATGATTTATTTCAACAAATCATTTCAATATTTACATTCTAAACAAATTCTTTATTTACTCTTGATTTGGGTCTGTACTCAGGTTCTCAATCAAGACCACACAAATAGTTCACATATTGGATTTATCTCTATGAGACTTATCCAGATTTTGATATAAGATGACAAAACAAATTTCTTATCGGCCCAAAGCCCAACAATAATTTATTTTAATCAAAACAAATTTGATTAATTGATTATTTATTCATTAATAATTCTAGGGTATATTTTGGGGCGTTACAATAGGTATTGTGATATCTTAATCTGTACGTAGGTGCATATTATATTGATAATATGTGACTGGATTGACCCATCGTGAGAATACTGCATGGATCTACAGTAATGTGTTTATCAGTATTCTCAAATCGACCTTACTATAACTATCCTCAGACATGAAGTTATTAAATTCTCTGATATGTGGGGCCGTATGCTTTGATTCATAACTAATGCTATCTGAAATACTGGTAGACGTACAGTTATGCGTTGGGTATGCCGCTAAGCATATTTAGAGATGTGAATAACAAATACAAGATCTGTCCCTTCTACTGTATAGAAGTATAATGTCAATGGGCCCACTGAATAGTAGGACTTGGGAAAGTGCATGGCCATGCCCAGATATGTCGCTATCTAGAGACTGATAAATATCTGATCCCTGCCAGTCTACTTGAGATTCAGTAACAACTGATTTAACTATACAAGGATACACATCCCATGCCTTGTGTTAAATCATGACATTTAGGACAGAAGGATAATAGTTATAGAACGTCTTGTGTCGTAGAAGGTATTGATGAGATGAACGTTTTTTTCATAATCTGGGGATAATAATGTGTTGCTAGATACCGCTTATTATCTATGGTATTAATTTATATTAATATCATTGCCAGTGTTATGGATACCTAAAGGGTCACACACTTAGGACTTGTAAGGGAGTAGTATACTACACTAGTGGGAGTAATATTAAATATATAGTTGTGATAATTTTATATATATATGTATTTCGAAAATACATATGTAATTTAAAATTATATTTTGTTTGTGTCATTTTAATTATATGATAATTATATTTTGACAAAACAAATTTTATCATATATACATATATATATATATCCCCTATATATATATATATATATATATATATATATATATATATATATATATATATATATATATTATATAAACACGAGAGAGGGTTTGGTACCCTCTAAAATAATGCTCTTTTTCCGTCAAAATTCCATGTACATTGTGCTTTGCAAGTTGTTCCTGGTTTGTTTTTTCCGATTGTACCCCAACGACGTCTAAACTCTTTCATTTAGCTCCCTGATTCGGCCTTCGTATTGGTCCTCGCCCATTTTTGCTGCAATTGTTCGATGTAATTTTTGATAATGCATATCAGGTCCATTTCCGCATATGATTGAACAGGCTCAGTTTAGTGTTCTCCAATTTCAACAGCCATGGTGCGATGTCAATTCCACTGATGCGGGGATATATAAGATCATCTATCATGATGCTCCGGTAGGTTCTCCGACTATGATGGATCCAGAACGCTAATATGGCTCTAAATTTCTTCGCACATGGTTGTAGTACTTGTGAGTCACTATATCGTTTATTAATTTCTACAATTGCACTTGAAAGTCAACCACTCATGAACTCGATCATCACATTAGTGAATTGCAAACTTTCTGGTTCTATTAAATTGAGTGATACTTTTCCAAAAAATATAGGTCCGTTACTTTTTCCTGAATTCAATTCTAACTTTTTTCGCAATTGTTGATGGATACACCGGATTAGATATCTCTTGTATGTGTATCAATCTAACCACGTGTTGTTTGTTCGTAGTCTAAAGATTAGCTTTGTTGGGAAGGTTTTTCACAGAGGTTTGCGATTTTCATGGAGTTTTGGGTTTTCATGGTTTTAAGTTTGCTAATTTTCCTAAATTTTGTTGTATTATATGTTTGACAGATTTCTTAAACTGAGTAATACTGGTGGTATGCTTTGAAAAATGTTAGCTCCGTTGCTTGTTTCCAAAATTTCAAACCTTTTTTGTGTAACTGATGACTGGTTTATAGGATATGATATCTGTTGTGTCAATATAAATCTATGTGCAGGTCTATTGTTCTTAATCTAGCTATTCTGAGGCTAGGCTTTGCTGTGGAAGATTTGTCCATGAGTGGATTTATGTGTTTTAAGGTTAGTTTCTTTTTCTTAATTATGCAGTAGTATTGTTTTAACAAAAATCTTTTAGAAAGAAATAAAAATGGTGTGTTCCAATTACTTTTGATATACTCCTCCACATAGTTGCTATAGCATTCCCCAATGTTTATATTGAAGTGTAGATAAAACTATTATTACCATGAAGACCCATTTGGCCTGGCAAGTCTTTGGATTTTTTGTGTGACTGTGCCATTGCCCTCTATTTGAGTTTTAGGGCCTTTTTAGGAATATCGTTAGATCTTAGCGTTAGCATTTTGAAAAGGTTATCTATGGACATTGTTCAGCATTAACGCTTTTAAATTAATTTGCACCGTTAAAATTTTATCTAAAAGTTAACGCTGAAAGAAGATGTTGTTCTCAAACGGGCCCTTATTTTCTCAAACTGTAGCCTTGCCTACCTATTAATGTCCTGCAATGATATGTGTTTTTCTCCTTAACATACAAATCCCTTGGCGTGAGATTATGAGATTGTATTATTTTTTTAGATGGCAACTTTGATTTCTGAAAAAATAGTGTATGGCTAATAGGATTGAATAGTTCAATTTTCAGTCCACTTTGCCCTTCTGCTGTCTAAACTCAGTTTCCCATTTATTTGTTGGACGCCACACTTTTACCACCACACAAATTGTAGATCTGCATGAAGTCAAGATCGTGACAGGGATAACCATCACCCTAGAACACCATCGGCAATGTGAAGGTCACCAATTAAAACATCCAGGAGTGCGCCCTCAACTTAGTCCTACTCTGTGGCATAAAAAAAGAAACCAAGAAGAAGACCTACACCAAGCGAAAAAAGGTCAATCTCGCTGTGTTTCTTTGCCACAGGGTCGATGAATCTGGAAGGAATGCCCCAATGCCAGGTATGCTGGAACCTCATGGCCAACCACTTCGATTGGCGATACTGTGTCAAGTGTGGTCTCAGCTATGTCTACGACACAGGTTATTAATTCAAGCAATTATCTCTTCATAAAAACTTTAATTTTGTTAGGATTACCACTATTCGATTCTTCAATTAAACATTTGTCTATATTAGTTCAGAATTATATCAATTAATATGTTATTTACTATTTTTCTACATATTTTCTCTATATTTTCGTACAAGCAAAAAAATGTGGGAGAACGTATTGCTATTGGTATCTAAACAGGTCATTTGCTTCAAGGAAACATGTAAACTTTACTTTATACCTTCATCTGGTTCAGTGACATGGCTTTTTATATGCTCTATTGTGTCCACAGACAGTGCTGGTAAATTTGTTGTGTTCATTGTGATATGGGCATTTCATATTTTGTTATTTGTTGACTTGGTTGTTCATTCAGCAAAGATAGTATATAATAGGGTTCTCCCTAGCAGAAATTATGCTGCCAAGGATATCAATTTTGGAAATGGGACTCGAATGGCCATGTTACAAGGTGTTAATGAGCTTGCAGAAGCTATGAAGGTTAATTTTACTCTTAATCCCCATCGTTCCATTTTTTTCCTTTCATTTTTTAAAAATAGCTTTCTCACTTTTTAGCCATTTGAAATCCTGTGTACGGATGCACCATATCCAGATAGAGTGAGAAATATGGAGTGTCATATATTTTCTGTTCTTAACCGATGTATGTAATTTCGAAATCCATTTAAGTGGTGTTATACTGACTTCATTGCAAATAATAGTTTTTTGTAGGTAACACTAATTGGAAATGTTTTTTTCTTTACACAATCTCCAGGGCTGTCATGTTATCATTGAGAGAAGCGAGGAAAACCTAAGGTGACAAAGAATGCTGTCATTGTAGCCAAAAGTATTGTATTTAATAATAAGATAACGAATGTTGGTGCAGAACTTGTGAAACAGGTTCCCAATGGCACTAATTCTGCTGCTGAAGATGGTGATGACCAGCTCTACATAATACTCTCTTGAAGAATAATATACACTCCCCCTCCCCCTATTTAGCCTGATTGACTTTGCACAAAGTTTATGAATGCAGATTTTTTCAATATTTATTTAAAAGTAAAGAGTCAATATTAACCTTATATTTCTTTCTTTAAAAAGAAACATGGCTATTATTTAGATACCAAAATAGAAATACTGGGAAGATTAAAGAGGGATGCAAGTATAAATGTTTATTACTCTATATGTTAGATGGATTGATGGTTACAATATTTGATGCCATATTACAACAGGTACTACTTGTGCTACTGTGCTGACTCGTGAGATACACACAGAAGGTTGTAAAGAGCTGGCTGCTGGTGTGAATGTGATGGACTTGCACAGTGGGATTATTAAGGTTGTAAAGTGGTGGCTGCTTTTGTTATGATTAACACTAAAACTAATAGGGATACAACATTGTTGAAGGGTAACACACAAAAATGAATTGTCCCACTTGCAAGCTCATTTGGAGTGGACAAAACCCCTACAAAGAGGCAATAAACACATCAAAAATAGGAAAACAACCATACACACTACGAAAAAACTAGCCAAAGTATAATATTTATGAGTCGAGCAAACATATGCTCATTCTCACGTTTGAACATATATTATAATGTTTGAAACACCATTGAGTGTGATATCTACATGTTGAATTTGTACTATTCTTAATATGCTTTTTTAAACAGCATACTATTGAAAAAATAATCAAATTAAAACAAGAATAAACCACAAATTCACAATAAAAACACCACAAAATCCACCCAAAAAACAATAGTATCACACCCAACCACAAACCTAATATCGGGCATCGAATTTCGCGCAACGCGCGTGCCATTGCTAGTATATATGAAGGGCCGAAATTATATATATATATATTATTTTATTTTTCATCATTTTAATTATATGGTAATTATTGATGTCAAAAATAAAATATGATATATTTCAAATATGGGATGACCGAAATTTCAAGAGGAAAAATCCAAGACCATTTTGATTTTATACATAAAGTATTTTTAATGTCAAATTGATATATTTGATTATTATTTGATGTAGGGATTGTATTTTGTTTGACAGCTAAGATATTAAACATTTACACGTGGTGTTAAGACATATACATGGACTTATGCTTAACATTAATTTCCTAGCAATTTCCTAAATATACTTTATTATAAAATGAGGTCTTGATTTTTAATACATACACCACAACTTTCGGCCATCCCATTTTAGAGAGAAGAAAATTTTATTTTGTGTTCAAAGTTATTTTTCTAAAGTGTTAGAAATATACACAAAATATTATAAACAAATATTTATAAGATAAATATTTTGCTATATATTTATTACTCCCAAAGTAGTATTATTATAGTTTTTACTATCCTATATTAAACTTGCTAGCACAAGTTTAATCTTGGACTCCGGAGCAAGTTTGTGTGGATACGTTGGAGGCTTCATACGTTTGGCGCTACGTTCATCTCCTCAAAACCATCCCCGACCGTTCCTCTGTTCTCCGTTTTCACCGTTAAGGTAAATTTCTTACTATAGCTAATAATTTATGTAAGTTGTTCTTGGGTGGAATCGAGTTTTGGACTATAAATTTTTGTTTTCCGCTGCGTTATCCAAGCCTCGTTTCCCAACAAGAATATCATGAATGACTTATATATTGTGTGCATGATATCAAATGATTTGATTATGAATTGAGATTCTTTTTATATGGATGTTCGGCGCATTAGATATGCTTACTCAGCTTTACCGCTGAGCGTGTAGTATGTTTTATTTGCTACACGCAGGTTAATAGAAAGAATGATGTGACATGATCCTGGGGCGGACGGAGGCGAGATTGTCGGAATGGATGTGATGGTTTTGAATTATGTTTGTGATTATGATTTGTTAAGCTTCCGCAATATTATTGAATACTCCGTACTGTTTATGTTATGAAAATTATTATTGTGATAAATAAAAGTGTTTGAAAAGTTTTAAATTTTACGATTACTAAGTTAATACTTTAGTCTGAAAGGGGCTGCAGACCTGGACGGATTAGGGTGTTACACACCGTCGGGACGCGAGCTTCCAAGTTGGAGATCGGGTCTTGTTGAAACTCCAACCTTATCGCCCGCATTCGGTGGTCACACGCCGCTCTCAAAAACTCGCACGCAGGTAATACTGGCCCTTCTCAATCACGGCCAAGGTGGGTGCCACGGCCTATCGTCTCCAATTGCCAGAGGGGTCACGAATCCATCACGTTTTCCACGTCTCTCTACTCAAGCCGTTTCGTGGGGATGCCTCACCTAAACTACTACCCTTGTCGACAGAATTCAAGCATGGGGACCCCATCTCTACTCCTATCAGGATCCACAACAGGCGTACAGTTTTAAAAAATCGTTCACATAAGGAGCAGGCCTTGGTGGAATGGTCCGACGGCGGCCTCGACGATGCTGTTAAACAACTTATAGATGCAACCTGGGAGTCCCTGCAAACACTTCGGGATTTGTTTCCTTCCTTGCACCTTGAGGACAAGGTGTGTCTTGAACGGGGGGAGAGTGTTACAACGGAGCCGCAACAATCGGAAGGAACGACACACATGGGAGTTCGGTGTAGCATGCGGGAGAGACGACTACCGGCATGGCGTATAGATTACGAGGATTGAAAATCATTATTATGGCAACTGTTATTAATCATATTTAGCATTATTTATTAAAGTTGTATTTTAGATTTTTATTAGGTGAGCGAATTATAAGATTCTTCGAGGGTTTCTTTTCGGTTCTTTACCTCGTCGCTTTTCTTGAACCGACAGGATAGAAAAGTAGGGTTACGGTTTGGGAACTCTTTATATTTGGACGCATGATTAGTCCTCATCATTAAGAAATCACAAACCTCTCTCTACCCTAATTCTCTCCTCCTCCTTCCCTTGGCTTCGGCCTCCCTCTCCTGGTCTTCTTTACCCCTTCCCCTCCCTCCTTCCTCTCGTGCACGTCCGAAGGAACGTTATCCTTCCTTACTTTGATACACTCGTATCATATTAATTAATAAAAATAAAAAATAAACCTTTAGGTTTATTTTTACACGTAGTTGGTTCGAACTTCAAAATTAACATTTTTCATGTATCGAGTTATATTGCTCTAGGTTAATAAAATAATTTAATATTAATATACGTTAAATTTTCAATGTTTTGAAGTCCTTCAAAATTATTTTTTTAAAAAACTAAAGATATATTTAAAGTAGAAATAATTAATTTTAATAAATAAGCCTATACTAAAATTAAATAATCTTATAGCTCGGATAAATATATCTCGATACATTAAAAATGTTATTTGATGTCTAGATTAAGCCCAAATTAAAATAAACCGAAACACTAGGGATAAATATAAATTGCGAAAACTATTAGGGATATCTTTGAAAACATTTTCTCCATTTATTATATAAAATAACAAAAAGATAAAATTAAATAAATTATTAATTAAATTAAATTTAAAAGATTAATAGAAAAAGAAGGAAATGCGACAAGTGTATAATTGTATTAAGCTTAATTGAACGAGTACGAAACCATTATGATAAAAAAATATAATTAAATAAAAGATGAGGAATTACAAATTGTGAAATTTGCACTAAATAGGACTAAAACATAATGACTTTTCTAATTTAGGATTTAAACTTTTTTATTCCCTAAATAGGACTTAATAATGTCTTAGTGGAGGAATAATGTCCAATAATGATGGATATTTACTTGAATAATGACTAATTAATAATGATCAAAACTCCTACATTGGGAAATAAAAACATATGATACTATATTGGGAAAGTCATTATGTTTTAGTCTTATTTAGGTAAATTACTCATTACAATTTCGGTTTCTATGACTTATTGGGACCTGTAAATAGGGGTGGACACGGTACGGTTCCGGGACGGTTCCGGTTCCGGAACCACTGGTTCCGGTACCGCCACCCCAAGTAACCGGAGTTGTTACCGTGCCGGCCGGTACCGGTTCCGGTACCGGACCGGCCGGGTTCGGCCCCCCCCCCCCCTATTTTTTTTTTTGCTTTTTTTTTTTTAAATTTTTAAAGTATAAAATTGTAAATTTGCAATTGTTTAAGGAAAGAATGAAATAAAAAATCTAAAAATGTAGTTGTTATTTAAATATTGAAAATGAGTAATACACTAACTGAAGAACAACCACATTTAATATCGTGACGGTTCAAAAAAAGCGACGAGGTAAAAAACCGTAAAGAAACCCTCGAAGGAGCTTATATATCGCTCACCTAAAAAAATTAATTACATATTTACATTAACATAAAAAAAATTTATAACTTATTCTTCAGAACTCGGACTTCCATCTGTGGTTGCATTCATGTAATGCTCCGATTCGAGTTGGTACGATGACTACTCTGAAGCAAATGAAAAAACTTTTTCAGATAAGTTATATTCCCACAGAATACTCTGAAGCAATAGGAAAATATTTTCAGCAGTATGCTGATCATTGAAATCACGAAATGCAAGAACACGTTTATGCATAATCCAATCACTATCTATCCAATGACAAGTAACACCCATATAAGACAAATTATGATAAGTTTCACCCCAAATATCAGAACAAATAGCAACACGAGAATTAAAATTGAGAAAAAAATTTGCCAAAATAATTTTTTCCATTTTATACTGGCGAATAATTTCTCGTTTAATTGTTTTTCTTGAAAAACCTCGTGCTTGAGGGTTTAATGCCTGTTGACAATAATCAATAAAACCAAGTTTTTCAGAAAACATGTATGGCAAATTTTCTTCACAAATCATTTCGGCCATTTTTTGCCTATTTTGCTCGTCGCTATAAGCAAAAAGGCCGCCCTTACCTCTGTTAGCAAACCGAGAAATTTGGGTTTGCACTTCTTGTCGTCCCTTTTTTTTGGCCTCGTATTTGGCGTACTCCACGGGATGCCTCGACCTTAGGTGTTTTTCCGGACCGCCATAACCGCCGGAAACTCCCATTTTTATGACGGTCCCGCAATGTTTACAAGTTCCATAAACTATGCCATCTTTTGTGTCTTTGTCAAAATGATAAACAAATAANTTACCTTTGTCCGGACCTCGAGAGGTCTCGGGCTCACCTGCCTCCACGTCGACGTCGTTGCTTTGCGGTGTAGGCTCATCGTCCCCGTCAAGATTATCCAGTCCTGCTTCATCAACATCCTCGAATAGACTATCAAGAGTGGGGAGATTCGCGTCTCCTCTACCAGAATAAATCTGGTTGAATTCTTCATCCGTCATAGCGTCCCCGATTAAATGATCTGGGACAGTAGGAAACGAAGAGACGGAGTGTCTTCCTCGAGAACCGTGTCCGCGTGAGGTCGAACCGTCGGAGGTGGCTTTAGCTTTGCCTTTACTCAATCTTCGGTTGACGTCGCCCATATCCACGGACCGTCTACCGGACTCCCTCGACATTTTAATATATATTTTTTTGATATTAAAATATTATATTACTTTTGGAAAAATTAAAAAAATTTCGAAAAATAAGTACCGGAACCGGTACCGAAAGTGGCGGTACCGGTACCGGTTCCCGGAACCGGTGACACGGCGACGACGCCGGTGACGGTGGCGGGTACCAGCGGTACCGTTGCCGGTGACGGTACCGTACCGGCACCGTGTCCACCCCTATTTACAAGTAAAAGGAATAAGATGGGAGGGATTTCATACCGGAAACCTATCTACCACGCCACCTGCGACAATGAAATGACAAGAAGTCAAGAACGTTGGTCAACTCCCAAGCGCACCGAACTTGCTCGGCTCCCCTCGCTTTCCATCTCCAGTCCACATGTTCTATTAGGGTTGGGTTGGGAAAACGGAAAACCGCAAACCGAACCGAAATTGCTCAAAACGAGCTAGAAAAAAAAATCGAAACGAAAAAATCGAAATCGAATGTAAAAAATCGAACCGAACTGTTAGTGTTTGGTTCCATTTTGGTTTTCACTTTAAAAAACCGAACCGAACCGAATAAAACAAATTTTCTTAGATATTTCGCTTTATTTATATGAGTATTTGTGATATGTACAAAAATCATAGAAATATAGATGCAAATAAATTACTTGTCGAATAAGAGTATTTTCTTAACTTTTAATCAAACATTTTAGACATATTATTATAAACTTTAAAATATCTAAGAATATAAACACCAATAGTTAATCCTTATATAGAATTATATTAAAATTAAAAATTGATACGAGTAATTTACATATTTAAATAAAAAAAATTCTTTGATGTTATTATGAAAATGAAAGTATTATACCAAAAAACACAAATTTCTCGTAATTGATTTTACATACAATGTCTTTGAAAGTATTTGGAATCTCTTAAATGTTTGTTGGCACTCAACACATATTTTTTATGTAAAATTGAACACAACGGAACAATAACTTTCCATTTAGTTTTGTGTAAAAATCAAACCAAAAAATCAAATCTAACACTACATATTGTTATTGCTTAATCGAGTTAGTGGTTTTACAAGTTTTTAATGCTTATAAATTTCTACTTTTATGAATCAAAAAATTTGAAAAAGAACCGAAATAAACCGTATAAAACCAAACCGAATAATCAATAGTTTTAATCCGAACTAAACCGAACAGCAAACTTACATTCCCTATTGTTTTTTGTTTTTAGTCAAAATCTTAACAGCCAAAACAGAAGCCACATATACTCTCTTACCCCAATTACATCCCATTTTCCGATCAGGGTAATTTCATTTTCAATCAAATCTTGAACTGGAACGGCCGAGCCATGAGCCAAAACGAGACCTTTACAGTGCCCGAGGGTTTATCTCAGAGAGAAAGAAAGTCAGATAATACTGCATCGGGTAATTTGATTTGGAGGCCATTTGAGTGGTTCAGGAAGCTCAGTGATGATCTGCACTGGAGCTTTGTTTTATCTGTGGTGATTGTATACGGAATCAATCAAGGGTTGAGTTTGGGTTTGAGCCGGATTAGCATACAGTACTATATGAAGGATGAGCAGAAGCTGCAGCCCTCTGAAGCTCAGATTTTTTCCGGAATTATAGCATTGCCTTGGATTGTTAAGCCTCTCTGGGGTCTGCTCACTGATGTTCTTCCCATTGCTGGATATAGACGAAGCCCTTATTTCATTCTCGCTGGTATTTGTTTTTTTTTTGAGTGCTTTTGAAATAAAGAAACACAATTTCGATCATCGTGCCCCCCCCGCTGGATTCATCTTTTTGGAAAATGCTTCGAAGCATTGTGTGTGTGTAAGAACGAGAAAGCACGACTTGGCAGTTTTGGGAATTCAAATTGATAACATGGAGCTTATGAAGCTACTCAGATCGATCGCTAAGCTAATTTGCTTCTTTTAGTGGGTACAATTAGAAGTTTAGAACAGATTCCCGCAATGTCATTTTTAACAAGGAGACTAAGAAATCCAGTTACTTTCATTTCTAAGATGTGGTAAAAGTTACGTGGGGTCAAGCTGTAGAAAGGATGAAAGGTTTAAACCAAATGAGCTGCTTAATGTGTGTTCTATGTAAACTAAAATGTGTAGCTATTAGGGAGTTAGTACGTAAAGAACTTTACACCTATTCGTAAGCTTATATTTGCAAAAATGAATATATTAGCTACAGTTTTGAGTCTAGTATGCGGTTTAAAATTCAATGTATTAGTATGTGATTTCACTAAGCAAAACTAGTGCCTGTGTGAAGATCTCAGTGTCCTTTTGATTGGTTGAGTATTTCCCCAGCTTTGTTTATAGCCATGTTTATATAGAACCTAAAAAACACCAGCCACTGTTGTTGTTTGGTGGAAAACGTGGAACATTTTCTCTAAGAAACAAGCACTAAATCTTACTGGCCTCATCAGCATTATCCATCCTCTGAATGGGAACGAACACACAATTCAACAAATAACAAGTAAAATATTTTCCTGTTCATTAATCTCATTGTTCTTCTTAGGTTCACTCGGCATCATTGGTATGCTTACTCTGTCGATGAGCAAGAACTTATGCATCGAATTTGCTTTGTTATGCATAATGACTGGCAGTGCTGGGGTTGCGATAGCAGATGTTATAATTGATGCATGTGTAACAGAGAACTGTATCAGCCATCCATCTATGGCTGGTGACATGCAGAGCTTATGTGGAGGGAGCTCTTCACTAGGTCAACTTATTGGGTATACAATTAGTGGATTTTTAGTTCACCTAATTGGAGCAAAGGTTAGTTACTAAGACTTTTTGCTGCTCTTATTCATGAACTGTGAGCTTTTCTGTTCATCTTCAGATATAATCTCCAGGGTACGTTTTGGAACCGTGAGTGGAGGTTGTATTTTTATTTTAAGATTTTTTTAAAACTTAATAGTTTTTCAAAGTAAATATATACTGTAAAATGGCTCACAAACACACACACACACTTCCTCCATCCCAAAAAATTCCTTATAGTTTGACATCTTTGGTCAAACTACTACATGCTTTGACCACAAATTGTGGAAAACATGTATTTAATTATAATGTAAATTTATTAATGATTGGGGTTATTTTAAGATGTAATTTGTATATATCATGTTTTTATAACATTTATTTAAAACTATATTTATTAATGGTCAAAGTGTGTAACATGTTGACCAAAAAATTCAAACTGTAAGGAATTTTTCGAGACGGAGTGTGTGTGTTTGTGTATCAGTTAGGGAAGGAGGGAGCATTATTGTTATTATTATTGATAGATAAAAATCAAATCATGACAAATCTTTTTGCTAAACATCTGGCAGGGAGTCTTTGGAATCCTGAGTTTGCCACCTTCTCTAGTTGTTTTTGTAGGAATCTTTATACGAGAAAAGTATATGCATACCAAGAGCTACATTCAAAAATTAAAATTACAGAAACGCCACGTGGAGTTTCCGAGACGTCTCCAGGCGTGTCCGTGGCGTGTCGGTGTGTCCAAGGTGTCCGAAACGGGTACGGCAGCCTATATGGAGTTTCCGTGCAACATAGATTGAGAGTGCTTCCGGTAGCACTTTTGTTTTTGGTTCCTAGCAGTGACCCAAATGCTTCTATCCTTCCAATTGAAATGTTGAGAACTAAGAAGGGCGAGGATTTGACAGAAACTCATAGTAATATGGAAATGGTGGCGCTTATTGACCCCGTTAACTAGACCTTTCCGGAATGATCCAAGTTAGGGTTACTTTTTTTATCCTTCCATCCAAAAGGGGCATGTTTCTATATCCAAATTGCAGTTATTTTGCTGTGAAAAGGGGATTTCCATATGCAAGAGTATGCTCCAGAGATAGATGATAGATCTACCCCCTCTGTGGTTAGAAACTAGAGCTGGCTGGTTCAGGTTCTTGTAAAGCTGGCTTGATACTTTAATTTCTTGTCCAGTGTATACACACACCTGTACAAAATCTAATTTCTCTTATATACTCTCGGAACTTTATACTCTAGTCTTGCTACTGCATGGAGGGGCAAACAGTTGTTTTCACCCAGAGGCTTTAACCACTTTCATTTCATTCTTACTCCAAAGGTTGGGGAGCTTGGCTTTTTCCATGTTTATCTCTGTATCTTTGTTATGCCGGTAAAGAAAACACACATATTCATTGAGGGCCGGCTTTTCATGATCGAATATCCATTTGTATGTAGAAACTATGCATCAAATATTTTCTGAACAATGCAAAAGTTTTTTTATCACCGCGATAGTTGGTTATTGCCAAGTACATTTATAAATTGCTTCTCTATTCTCAATTATAATGCAATTTGTTGTGGAAGGTTTCAGAACAGACAACTCTTGGAATATGGCTTGTTTATGGTTTGTGAACTGTCTTGCAGCTTTTATGATCATTTGCATGCATTAACTACACTGCATTCCTTAGCACATAAAACCAATACAGTACAGATATGTTGTTCTACATCCCGGTGATGTCCACGCTGAGCTCAGAACCACCCTCAAACTGCAGTTTGACAGTGGGAACGTTGACCTCATCGTAGGCAGAGAGATCAAAGCAAGTGTCCAGAATTGAGAAGCCACTCGCTGTAGGGTACCTTGAGAACTGTTTCAAGATTTCAGCCTTCAAAGCCTGGTAGACAGTTGGAGGAAATCTGGACATAATGTTCAGTTCGAATATTCATTTTTCTACATTCATTGTTCCATATTCAACATTCATTTTCATATTCAACATTGAACATTCAAATTCAATATTCAACATTCGTATTCAACAATATCCTTAAACTATTCTTAGTGTAAGGCCAATCTCTTTCATATTTATCAATCCTTAAATGAATTCTAGTTTAAGATATTTCTAATCAATTCTTAAACTATATTCTAGTCTAAGCTAGGCCTAGTTTAAGATAAACTTACCTTCACTTAAGGTCAACCAGAAACCGAACAACGGAATGCTCATTGTCGGGTTGGGTGGTATCCCGAAACGAGTTCCTCTAGTTTGGTTTATAGATCCCGTACGTACGTTTTAACCCAGGCCACCGAATATTTATAATTATACCCGCAAGGCCTATCTCTAAGCTATCTTAGAGGTGTTCTAGATAGTCTTAGAAACCAACATCAATATATCTTAGAGTTCTTCTATATATCCTTAATAGTCATTATCAATTCCAAATGGATATATATCTTAGAGTTCTTCTAGATATGCGTAACAATACAAATCACTTCATAATCATTCATGTATTCATTTTTAAATGATGATTCAATCATTCACAATCATCATTTGAATCAGTAGGTTTATCAATCATAATCATCCATTATAATCATTCATCATAATCATCAATCAACATAACATTCAAAGCAATAGCAATTAGCGGTCTAGCTTCGAGTGTTAACACCCTAGCTTACCGTCATGCATCATGTAAGGTCCTTTTAGTTTTCAAAACACCATTTTTATTCCAAGAAATCGTCTTTATATTAATCATAATTGATTGGTATCAAAAATAGGATTTTTGGGTTCAAAAATAACATTTTCAGAAGCATTTTCGAAGCAGACACGTCGGGGAATCGATTTGATCTAGCACTTTGGATCGATCCTCCGTAGAGAAATTATTCATTTGGATCGATCCGGGAGGGATGATCGATCCTCCCTGGGCATTTTTAGCCACTGTTTATCGTCTTCTACCTCGCGACTCCAATTTCGAAAATTCCGTTTTTGGTTTCCAAACTTCAATTAAACTATATAGAAATGTTCTCCAAGGTTCATAGATCATTTTGGTATCATTAATTCATATTTTTAACATCAAATTCAAGGTTTATGATTCTTAGTTCTTCAAACATGTCAAACACAAAACTCAACCAAATGACCATTTATGAACGTAGAAACGATCTATATGAACATTCTAGTCATTAGATATATCTACGGGCTTACCTCGAACCTTAATGAAGGTTTTTAGAATTTTCCGGCGAAACTTCCGGCGAGGATTGTGGCTTGCTCCGGCGACGGGAAGTTCTCTGGACAGCACAACTTCACTATCTATACTCTCAACTATCTTTTAGAAGAAGAATGGTGAAGAATGGTGGAGTTTAGAGGGGTTTATATAGTGGAGATGAGAGGAAGAAGACATGGGTGATGACCTCCATTTTCCTGTTTTGGCGTCTCAGTGGAGCGGACGACCTATCTCTACGATTCCAAACGCAAGTCCCTTATTGGGACTAAATTGGTCCCAGTCGGGGAACACTTTTTGGTCCAACTTTCTCCGAATTGAAATCCATTTGCACCGTTGCGATCATACAATTAAACTCTATTCAACGATCTAATTTTTATATTTATTCGTTATACTTTTTCCGACATCATATTTTTGGGTGTTTGACTTTGACAGAGTCAAAATTGATTTTTTTGACCTTTACTCAAAAATGTGCTCATATTCAATTCATATTATTTATTCTTATGATTTATTTCAATAAACCATTTCAAAATTCACATCATAAACAATTTCTTCGTTTATTCCTGATTTGGGTCTGTACTCAAGTTCCCAATCAAGGTAACACAATAAGTCAACATATTGGATTTATCTCTATGAGACTTGTCCTGATTGTAATATTGGATATCAAACACATATTATTTCTGCCCAAAGCCCACCAATAATTTATTTTAATCAAAACAAATTTGATTAATTGAATAATTATCCATTAATAATTCTAGGGTATGTTTTGGGGCGTTACAATTTAACTTCCGCCTCAGTTCCAGATGCAACTTCCGATCCTCAATGGGTGCCTGGCGCTGGCCCCGTCCTCTGAGCAGCGGGTCTTTCCTTCCCATTGTTAATGCTGGGATAATTTTACTATCAAAGGAGTTCAATTTGAATAGTAAAGAACACAAAACTTTGATTGGAATTGTGGAACCCCATTAATTCCATATACGTAAAAAACAATCACCTACTTATAGCTACAAGTACTTCGTATTATTTATATGGAAGTAGTAATCTGTTTATCTTTTAATGTGTATTGTAAAAACTACTGCATTTTGAGGGTTGATGAATACTTCAAGGATTACTTGTGGACTTTTCAAACCTGAAGGGCTGAAGGTTATGAACACTTTAAGAACTATTTATGGACATTTGAAACTTGAAGGACCAATCATGCACAGCTCATAAACTTGAAGGACCAATCATGGATTTAAGCCAATCTATTATGATTGAAGGTGTAATCTTTACGATGATTTAGTGGAAGGATTGTTATACTGACCTGGGCCTTGCAGATGTAGGAGAGTCACTCCAAACTGCGCAAACATATTACTGTGTCATTTTACTGATTTATTTACTTTCTTTTCGTTTAAAACGAAACAAAAGGTGTTATAGGACTATGCAAAGTCTCATTTCGTTGTAGTATGTGTTGTAGCATTTTTGTGGCACACTTGGTTATTGTTCTTTTGTTGTGTGTTCTACATAGCTTTCTCTGTTTGATGTTTGGATAACGCCACAAAATTTCATTTGGTATTAGAGTAGTTGAGCTTAAATTTCTAGCTTGAGTCAATCTTAAACATGAGCGTTATGGAAGAAGGTGCCAACTTTCAACGTCCACCACTCCTTCTTGGGCAAAACTACAACTTCTAAAAAGATTGCATGAGAGCTTTCCTAAAATCTCAAGGCAGGAGAGTTTAGAGAAGTATTGAAACTGACTCGAGTGAACTTATTGAGGCAAATGCTAAAGGAATGCAAAGAGCTAAGTGACAAAACCATTCGAGAAATACACAAAAAATGAAACTTGTACTATCGAATGCAATGATAAAGCATTAAATGCTTTTTTCGGGGCAATGGATGTTACAATACTCGTACGGATTACAACGGACAAGAAGATGAACGGCCCCAGACATAAAAAATAAATAAAATTCTGAATTTATAATTTATTCAGAATATTACAAAATAAACAAAGTTGGAAAATAAATTTCTATATCTTCAAATGGCCTTGTTGTACAAGGACATTAAGCACTGGACAGAATGCAGCGAGGTCTTTATGAACTGAACCTGCAAAAATAAAAACACCGTGGAAGGACAGCGGAGTCACCAGAGCTGTCCTTAAGGTAGTAGTGCCCGCCTACCGTAACGGAAAAACGTGGGCACTCCCCTCCTAGGATAAAACCGCTATCGTGTGTGGAGATTGTACGGACCAACCACACACCAACAAACAAGAACAACGTAGGAACCTTGACAACCAAAAACTTTAAGGGGATGGCCGGAAAATTTGGCCAGAAAATCAAGAACTCTCTTTAAAAGAAAACAATAAAGTGTTTTCACTTTTCTTTCTCTCTTTCTCACGCTAGGCACACACCAAGAATGGAGAGAGGCCCTTTGATTTTATAACTAAGGAGTTTAAAATGTGTAACTCCTACACCATTAACCCTTACTATTAATCATGGCATTTGTGGCATACTAATGGTGTGTTAATGGTGATTAATTAACCATTAACACGTCCGTTACGCTACGCTCCGTTTAAAATTTGTCCCGAATAATTGGAGATTAATGGCCAGTTAACCCCGTAAAAATGGACTAATTTTAAACAACACGTAAAATTAATAAAAGAAGATTGGTTCAGTAAAATTGCAAAAATTGCAATCCTTACCATATTCTTTTATTAACGGGTTAACTCTGAGAATCAATTTCTCATTCACCCTCTACCATTTTTGGCATATAAATTATCAAAACATTTATCTCATTTAAGAGAACACACGTCCATTAATTAATGGTTAAAACCATTAGTGGACCTATTGACAAATATACCCAAGTTGGTCCATTTAATGCCTATTAAAAAAGCCAAAAATTCCAACAATCCCCCACATGAATGAAAAATTGATTTGGGGGGTCGACAACATCCCACGAATGAAAACCTGCAAAGAACATGTAAGTGTCTCCACTTTTGAACATGTCCCTTGTAAAGTATACCTTCTTTACTAGATGTTCAGTAGAACGTGATGTCTTTGAACTGTACTGCCGCTTGTGTAAACGATAGTATACCATACACAGATTCCAACCAAACGTCGTTCTGTTCTCATGGTTGTGCCCATTTTGGTCGTGGGACACGCGCCTGGTTCTGCGAGAGTGTTTAGAGGATTAAGCCCAAGATCCTCCGTTTGAAGCGACCACACTTCACTCTTACATAGGTGATTCTTTAAGAGTATCCCGATTACTCCCCTTAGACCACCGTGTCTATTGGTTAAGAATCATTAAAGCATATTTATATGCTAACCTCATCATTTTCGGGAGTCACTGTCTTCAGCAGGAACAGAAGGGACTGACCGAAGGTTCCGGTAC